CATTGACCAGCACCCCCAGGTGCTTCTCCTCAAGGCTGTTCTCAATCCATTCTCTGCCCAACCTGTATTTGTGCTTGGGATTGCCCCAACCCAGGTGCAGGACTGTGCACTTAGCCTTGTTGAACTTCATGAGGTTGGTGGTGTTCTTGCAATGTGAACCAACCATAATTATTTGAGGGGAAATGAATAGTCTAGCAAGAAAATATTTCTTCCAGGCTGGTGAGATTTCCATTATTAGACTTTTCTCTAACATCAACACCTCCCTGATTACTTGTGGCATTAAGATACAGGAATAGTCTTTTCCATTCTAGTAAGCAGAGAGGATCTGCCTAGTTTCTGTACAGTATAGTAATTACTCTTCAGGCATAAAGTGATTTTTTTTTTTTTTAATTTTCTCAAAGTATAAGGTGTTTGTGTGTGTGTATGACTTGTTCAGAAGGTAGCAGCTACCTAATTTCAGATTTTCCAAGAAAGCTGTTTTACTTCTCTTATAATATTTTGTTAAGATTTGTGTTAATACGTTAATCTTCTAGGTAAAATATGAATTGCTCAGTTGGGATAGACCTAGGAGAGAGCAAAGTAATTTAGACTTGACTGTCAGAAAGTACAGTTGCTGAGAATTTTTATCTAAGAATCTTGTTTTAAGGTTCTTTAAAGGGTCAGTTTGACCCAGTTATATCTTAGCTATACCCAGGGGGAAGGAGGAAGCTGACACGTGAGTTTATAATTTAGGGATAGCATTAAAAAGAGTTCAGACTTCATTAGGAACATGTTTATTGTCCAGCAAAATAACAGAGATGTGCTGAGAACTATGAGGTGACATATTTGGAGATGGCTTCTCATTGCAGGGTTTGGGATCTGGGTTTATCTTGCTTTGCCCTTAAAGTGCTCTGGCATGGTGTTTCATTTGTAATGCCTGGCTCATCCATGGAAAGGCTAGAATCGAAAGAGCTGAAACTATGAATTGTGCTGGTTATTTTAGTGCTGTGTTAGTCTCTTAAAATAGAAGCATTTAATAGTTGGATAATTGCACGAAGAGACAGAAGAGATACCATGATGGTTCAAACTTTATTGTGAAGTTCCTCTGCTATAATATGTATGATGCTGTACAGGTAATACAGTCTGTTTCAGTATAACTGTTTCTGCACAGGAATTAATCATTATCAACCCTTTAAGAGGGTGTATCGTATGTTTTGTTTGAGGAATAAGACCTTGTTACATTTATTTGTATAAGGGACTGTAGGATTAGAAAGACAACTCACTCAGTCGCTCTGAAATCCGTCTTTTGTGGGGCGGTTTTGAAGAAAACAGTTATTTGCCAAATGTATGCAAATAACACCCTGTATGTGTTTCCACAGCCACACTGGTGGTATTGACTCTTATAGTAAAGAGACAAAGTGACCATCTGTGCCAAGCACTCTTTCGAGGAAGTGCAGATAGTATCACAAATAACTTACCTGACTTCATGTTGGTCTTTTGTAATGCTCTTCTGCCTTAGCTTAAAGGAAAAACACATACAAAAAGTAGCATCACAGTTTTTTATAAAAATAAATTTATATTCTCTAGATGTATTTATTTTTTCATCTACAGAAGCAAAAGCTGAGTCTGGTTTGATTTTGTTGCCTACAAATGCCCACATTCTTGCATTATGGCTGGAAGAGCCAGGAATAGATCAGCTGTTGTGAATCCATATCCAGTGCCTTAACTACACAACTGACCTTCCTCTGCTATCAGGGTATCTCTATTCCGTATGTTGTTACAAACCCTTACTTGGAGCTACTGACTCTTACTAAGAGTTAATTCTTGCCCAGTCACTGTAGTCATGCTTTCTTTAGTGGCAAGAAGTAGTAGTGGTTTATATTTTGATGTATCTGAAAAGTATCTTTACAGTGTTTTCAGAACTGGGCCTGGTAGCTTAGTGACAAAAATAGGAATGAAAAGCTGCATGAACACTTCCATTTTACAGAGCTCTCAAACAACTGGCCTGGATCTGATTTCTCTCCTGTCCACCAGCACCAGTAAAGTTCTTTGCAAACCTGCCACTGACAAATCAAATCTTTTTCCTGTAGAAAAAAAAGAAGTGATTATATATGTTTTCCTGAAGGTACAGTTGGCTTTCAGAGCTTTTCTATATCTCACATTTATCAACAGAGCTCCTCTTGGCTGTCAAATGTTGAAGTGATTCTGCAGGGCTTGCACTTAGAAGTTGAGATGTCATTTATTTTAGTTTAGTTTAGTTTATGAAATAGCTGTTTGTGAAATTTAAGAGATTTAAGTATTTCTTGAGGTAAATTTTACAACTCCTGGGTGCAACTGATGTGTACTTTCATTATTGTAAGTAAATTACTGTAGTATTTTTCTTTAAAATCAAATAATATATGAATATTGGATATTTATGACAAAGTCAAAGACACCACTTAAGCGTTTGCTTATTTTCTAAATAGGTGTGATCTGTATATCTGACTAGAGAAGATAAAATACGGATAGTTGCACTGAGGAAAATAATCCTCTGCTTCACCTTGCAGAGAAATAGGTCAATATTATTCATAGAACAAAAAGCTGCATGTGCTTTTCAAGAGCCAAGGACCTTCAGTACACAGGGGTAAGAAAAAATTGTGACGTTTATTTTTGTTTCTTTCCCAAAAAAGCCTTTAATGCAATGCCATGAGATTTACAGAACTGTTTCACAAATATTTTTCCATAAGAGCCAAGGAAAAAAGATTGTAGAGGGAGTTTTGTTGTTTTGGTGGTGCAAATGCATGTATGTCTTCGGGATCAGGCCCTGGCACCACAAGTTGTTTTCTGAAACTTACAGCAAAATTTTGAAATTATATTATGGAATTTTGAGGACATGCTCCCATAGGAAATAGAAACTTTGTGCCTGAAAGGTAAAGCTTAATGGCAAACACTTAATTCCAAATGTTACAGAATTTACACTTTAAACTTGATCTCTGTAATAGCTTTTTATTCTGTTTTCTCAAAGCAGTCATAAGGATTTTGGACTGGAGCTTAAGAGAGAAAAATAAAAGTGAATAAATGTAATACCTTAAGCCTAGGAGATTAGTTGCTATGCCTCTGTTGCTGCTATAGACTCAATGGAAAATGAGTCCAAGTTAAAACCAGACCTTTATTACTGAGCCAAGTAAAAGGCTACTATCCACTGTATTTTAACTGGTTTTATGGCTTTATTAAAAGCACTTATTTTAAAGCTAACTGAACAAAGATCAGATGTCTGTCTCCAAACAAATTCTCTTTGAGACTTGGCATCGGTTTCTTACCAGGTTTTTTTCACCCTGTATACCTCAACCAAGGACAACACGTTGTGAAAGTTCAGGAAAGTACTTGTCTTTACAGTATTTTATTACTATTTGAGAGCTGCAGGTAAAATGCCAGTGTGTTGCAGGTTTTTGGGAAAGAGCTGTAGTATTTTTGTATTTGTTATGTTTGTTCTTGTTCATCAACAGGATTTACCAAAGCCCTACTGACTTTAGGATTTCAGGAAAGTAATTTAGTGTGAAATCAGATGTTTTGAATCCACAGATTCTGAAGTATCTTACTGGTGCCAGTGAGTTGTTACGTAGTTTTTGCCATTTACAGAACTCTGAAAACATAAACCGAAATTAAATCACTTTCTTTACCTTTAACTTCTTGCCAGTATGTAGTTTCTTATGTCCTGGAGATTAGGTGTTTGGTTTTTTTTTGAGACATTTTGGGATTATTACAGAGTGTGCTCAACTCCAGTTACTGAGGGAAAAAACACAGTGAGTATGATCTAGTTAATTTTTGCATGGATTCTTACAATACTTTCTGTCAGTTCTGAATGCTTCTAAGGCATACACATCCGATGTGTGCTAAATAATACAGTTGTAGTAACTTTCTATGAAACTACAGTAGTCTACATATCTGATACTTTATTTTTTGAGATGTTATGAATACTTAATACAAATAATGTTTGCAGAATTCTGCAGTCTTCACCTATGGTGAGCAGCGTTTCTGGTGCACACTGCGCTTGTTCAGGAGTTATAAATATCCACTATCACAGTTCTAACATCTGTTTAGTAATTTGGTTTACAACAGGATTATTGTTTACTCATGCTGCATAAAAATAGAACACTTTTTTTTTCTACTACTAAGCACATTATGAGACCTTAAAAAAGTTTACAGACGCCTTATCACATAAGGAATGTAAAAGTTTACTCTTTTTGAGGAAGAAGGAAAGAGAAAAACCCTGGCTTTCTTAGTTGAATCCTGTTAATGAAACCACACTTGTTATGCGGATACTTGATACGTAAAGTCTATGTGAGTGGGAGTGATCAACAATTTGAGTTCATAAAGCAGTCTTAAATTTCACTCGCTTTGAACGTAATATATGCCATATTTTCAGGTCTTTGTTGCACTGTAAAGGCAGAAATTGCATTAGTTTAAATAAAAGTTGAGTTTTGCTGCTGCTTTGGATACAGGTAGTTCAGAATCAGAATCAAAGTCCATGGATTCGGTGCATCTATTTTTATGCTTAGTTACTTTCCAGAATCCCTAAGATCAGAAGCATTGAAGAGTATTTTGGTTGCTTAAAAAGCCAGGAAAAAAAAACCCAACAACACTAGAGCCACTCAGGGTAAAGTGCTTAGAATAGTCTTTTAACAATTTGCTTTTTGTTTTGACAGTGCAAACAGGATTCCGAGTGCTAGAAATGCAAGTTGTTTTGCTTATTTTTATAGCCACAGATAACAGTGTGAGCTGTTCCAAGGACAGAAGATGAGTTTTCAAGCTCTTTGGTTGGTTGATTTCTACTTAGTCCTACCCCAGTGTCCTCTGTAATTGGCTTTGAGCAGGACTGGATTCACATAAACAGAGTGACACTGACTACATCCTTAGTCTTGGCACTGACTCTCCAATATTTGGGTTATGAGAAGTTAGACTTCAAGCAGTATCGTTAGCTACTTTGTTCTGCTTTGTATTATCACCTGGGTGAAGGTTGGCGAGTTCTGCGAAAAACAGAGATGAGTTTATCTTCAAGAAGAGTAACATTGCCTGCAGTTGTGCCAGTAACTCTGCAGAAACGGGTATGACATTGAAACTGGTCTTGTAATTCTAACTTTAGTATAGGTTGGTAATACATTTGCTTAGTGTAAATAAACAATGTTTAAAATAAACAGGGCTGTATTTAATTTTTCACTTATTTTTTATTTGATGTAATAAAAATTTTTCTTTTCTGCTACATGTATTTTTTTTTACTTTCATAATGTGAAATGTGTTTACATAATGGGTGTAAATATATACGTGTACATAATTGAGTATTTGTTACTGTGCACTTTTCTCTGTTAACTTTAATTCTATACCTTGTGCATGAAGTTGATTTTGCTTACACATTAGTGTAGCTTTTAAATATAAAGTGTTTTAACTGCATTTCAGAATATTAAAATAAGCTTCTGTAGAAGTCTTTGTAGCTGTTCCTAATGGAGGATTATTGGAGTCCACTTCCACAGGCTTTGGATCAGCCTTAAACAACTTTTTCCTCACCCTCTCTTGTTAACATCTTAATAGTGGATGGTCCATCATGTATTTTGGGAATCAGAGTAACACTGTACGGTGTTACCCCACAACCACTATAGCTTGCCTTTTTTTTTTTTTGTTAAGTGGAAGCAATATAAAATCAGTATGCCTCTGTGCACTTAGATAGCCTGGTGTAACTCTATGCATTGGGGGTATCTATAAAGTTAAAAATACACACTGAAGTGAAGTATGGAAATATGACTCTCTTCTAAGCTCGATATATTAACTTCTAATGAGTTAGTTAAAACAAACTCTAAGTAATTTATTAGTTCAATTTATTTTGTAAGTGTGTAGGTATTTTTCAAAAATTCATTGCTGCATAATGTGCCTGAATCTCTGTTAACAGATTCTTCTGTTACTCAGAAGCTTTTAATATACCAGCAGTGTGAAAAATGAAATTTCACTGAAATACTGCTACAGTATTAAATGGTTCTCATGAGCAATTTACACAAGACACAGCATATACTTCTTATGGCGTAAGTCTGGTTGGTCTAAAGTAGAAGATGAACACATAGCTCTCATTGATTTGGATGTATGGTGTTCTTTCTGATTACTTCTCTGTTTGAGTTGGAAGCCTATGAATATACAATTTTAGTCTGATTGGTATAGATTAGATTATACTGCTGTCTTAATGACATGATCATACACTGCTTTTCTGATATAGTAACTTCCCGTTCAGATTTGAACTGTGCAAGATGTGCTTTTTGTGTTTTTTTTCTTCTGAGAGGTGAGCATCATTCTCCGAGGAAATTTAAGAGTTTTTCTTTTTTGAAAAAAGCATGATGAGTGTATTCTCTCCTGTTTTAGAACATGTATATTTTCACACCACTATCAAATTAGCTGTCAACAGTTATTGGTTTTACTTCTCTTTATCTGTGCACGTTATAAGCCCAAAATAAAAGTAATGGAAGTGGGAAGAGGAAACAGCACAGGATGTTTATTTAGGTAGGCAGGTATTGGGTTCCACAGAGTTGCAAAAATTCTCAAAGGCATGTGTCCTCACTGAGGGCTTGCTGTGTGCCAAATTTAATAGTCCTTTCCATGCTTGTGATGTATATATTTATGCATGTTTCCTGAAAGTATCTCTTCTCTGTATTCAGAAGGTGCTTATTTCTGTAGCAGTACTCTAATTTCTGGAACTGGAATACTTCAGGGAGGGAAGCCAAGCAAAAAAGAGTCTTGCTTGTAAGGAGTAACATTTGTGCATGCATGTGTATGTGTAACTTTTTTTTGGTTTCTCATGGACATTAGAACCTCAAACATCTTTGACTTAAAGTACTGTGACATATGTTTTTCTGTAATAGGAGGAGGACCTGGAGATCTAGAAACGTTATGTTAGCACTCCACAGTCAAGAGAAACTTAAGCGTTAGCTCATTAAATATTATTTTAGTCTATTGATTATCCCCAATAATTATTTTTTAAATTCATAGAATGGGTAGTGATGTAAGGAGTATAGTTAAATTATAGTATTGAAAAAAGGGCAAGTCTTTTTTTATTCTTTTTTTTTCTCCCTCACAAAAGGTCAACGTTTTTGCATTATCAATGTACTAATCTGGCTACTCCACCAGTTTCTTGAACATGTGGCTTTTTCTAATTTTCCTTCCAAATATCTAATATACTTTGTCCAAAGTTACTGCATACTTCTTTCTTTTTAAAAATCTGATATGAAGTACTTATCACAGTTGACATGTTTTATTCTTAAGTAATACATTTTTAACTAAAGCCACAGGGCCTTTTTTAGATTCCAGGGGGTCTTTTAGCACAAGCAGAAAAATTACTTGCATAATAAGCATAATTATGCATATTGAATACTATTAAAACTAGATTTATAGTGTGTGTATAGACTAGATGTATAATTAATCTAACAAACTTAAAATGTGTTCTTTTGTATTAGTAACTCTGCACTTCTCTAAAAATATTTTTAAGAAATGAAATTTACAAGGTCAGAAGGCATTCAAGCTATTGTTTTATAGTCAAAGACCAATATTTTATTAAAGGTTAACACCAAAAAGTCTACTGGACTTGTTATGTGGCAAGCAGAAGAGTACTTACGCACCTGATGTTGGCTGCAAGATGTGTGAATAGTGAGAGTTGTAGTTTTTACCATAGCAGTTGGAAGCTTCATAGCACATTTAAAAAGTCTTCTGTTCGTAGACAGTATGTATCACAGCTGCATAATTTCCAGTGGTTCTTGAAGAGATTGCACAGTGTGTTATAAATGGAAGAAATATTGATTAGGAAATGAGGTTGTTAAGATTGATCAAATCTAGGACAAGTATGCAAATTTCAAGATTCTCTTGCATCTTTATTCCCTCTATTTTTCTCGCCTGAAATCACTTTCTGCATTAATCAACACTTGTCCTTCCCCCAAGAAGAATGGTCACTTAAACCAAATTGTACAGAGAATTAACAATGTCTGTCTGCAAGGCTAAGAGCATGAAAGTAATTTTTCGGTTTTGCGTTTGCGTTCCCTGAGATGAAAGGCCAATGTGCTAATCCAGGAATTTTACATAAGGCACTTTAAGTGACAGGATAATGGTGTCATTTGGTGTCATTAAATGGATACCTTTTATAAAATAACTGGAGGCAGACAAAGCATTGATGTATGAAACATCTCTTCATAAGGACAGTTTCAAAAATAATAATTTAAAGATGCATAAACAATACCCTTGCCCTTTTTGTCTTTTGTGCAGCAATAAAAATAAATGTACTAATAAATAATATGATACAATAATAAAAGAAAAGGTAACATCCAGCAAAGATTTGAAGAAAGATGAGGGGTTTAAGTGGGAGATGGACTTGAGGGTGCTTTAAAGACTTTAGGAACAGTGGTCAGAAAACCAGTGGTGATTGAGCTGAAGTATTTGAATCACTGTAAGGTCTTATTCTTAGTGGGATATTTTGTTTCATGACTTACGGGGGAGTCTGAGAGAAGAAAATGGGATAACCACAGGTAAAACTGTAATATGGACCTGCTGGGAATTCAGTATAGAATTAGATCTTGGAGATAAATTACTAGGACAAATCATCTGCAACTGGATCTGCAGAGTTTGGTACAAATAGTAAAGGTTTTAAGCCAGAGGAAGAGCTGAGAAAGGTTGAGGAGGAGGAATATATCTGGGAATGGGCTGAGACCCAAACTGAAGTCAGGAGACTGGTTGTCTGTTTTCTGAAATAAGTTTGTATTTAAAACTGCTAAAAGGCCAAGCTAGTATGTAGGCTCAAGGAAAAGTCTTTCCACCTTTGTGTATTTAACATGTGCTAAGATAGCTGCATTTTTTGAGGAAATTTGGGATTCTTGCCTCCTCTTGATAATACATAAAAACATTGTGAAACTAGTTTTACAAGTGTCTCCCTCCCTTGATAGAGGGAGCATACAACTTCCATATTAGCTATGAAAGGGTTAATGAACTGCCTAGAATTCAGTCATCTGTTGTACTGTACTTGCAGGTACCAAGATACTTGCCCATAGTAGAGTCTGATGTGTGTAAGTTTCAGTTTGTGGATAATAAGGAAGAAGGAGGTTGGCAAACTAGCATTTTCTGTTGTGGAAGATACCTGGTTAGGTCCAGGGACTGTTCAGGAGAGCTACTGACAGACCTCCTAAGGAGAAGGTGTTGCAGGATTTTTCCCCTCCTTGATGATTTTGGTCTAATAAGTCTAGATCTGATGCTATACTTGAAGAGGATTCTACTACTGAATTTTTGCTTTTAGTATGTACTCTTTACACAAGCAGGCACCTAAAAGTGTGTTCTGGTGTATCAGTGTTCTGGATGAGCAGTCCTATTTCCTGCCTTGAAAAACATGAAACCAGTAAAGCTTCCTACCATTTTATTGTGTATGAAAGTGATTCCACATGTATAAATGAAATAAAAATGGGACAAAATCATCAACAATCTTGGAATTTAAAACATGTAGCACTATGGTGCATCATTGCCATGAAAAGTACATAGGGATGGATGGATGTGTGTGTGCATGGATGAGAGTGACTAGTAAGTGATAAGTGCACAGAGCTTTTTAGAAGTCTTTTTAAAATCTCAGTGGTTTAATATACTTGGTCGTTACTTGCCCCTTTTGTAGTTTGCCAAGGTTTTGTGGCACAATTAACGTTGCAGTCTATCTCCTCTCTGCCTTCAGTTCTTGAACTAATCTTTGGTATGTTTTTCAATTTCTTCTTGCTTCTATGTACATCTAAGATTCTTGATACAGTAACCAAGGAAATTGGCAATGTTTAGTGCCCTGCTCTGTTCATAAACCTTTTCTGTTGGCAGAAATCCTTTTGAAAAAAACAGCTTTTTCATCAGTTGAAGGAAATTCTTGGCCATTTTCTAGCTCTAGTACTTTCATATCCTCTTGAATAAATTAGGCTGCAAAAAGTCAGAACTTCACCTTCAGACTGTGTTATCTAGCCTTGAAGTATATCAAGAGCTATTGCTGAATAGTTATTTCTGCTGATTGTAAATCCCATACTGAATATGCTGCATTGCTGTATAAGAAGGGAGAAACTCA